GACACAACAATCAACTAGTACCAGTTAATTTAAAAAATGGAAAAGAAACTTTTATTATCAAAACAAAACTACAGTTGGAAGCATAGTAAAGTGGCTAGATGGGAAGAGCCACCAATTGATAAAGATTCTCAGGGGTTCCCCTGGGTTAAAACCTAGTTACAAAGAAACACCAACACTTCACCAGCTCAGACATTAGTTCCAAATTCACAAACTGGGAAAGCTACAGATCCTGATGGACTAGCTAAACTTTGCCCTCCTTACACATAGTAAGAAGACTGATCTTGGGGAGAGATGGGCCTCCCATCTCCTACAGTCTTGGAAGACAGTGCTCTGCTTTTCATACAAAGGAGGGGGTGGACCGAAGACAATGATCAAGCGATTTGTCTCCTGCCATCCAAACTGAGGCCAGGGACACCAATTCTATACCCTGGCTAACAGCCTTTTATTGACTTAACCTCCATGAAATCTAGTTTCTCTTTAAACTCTGTTAAAGTCCTAGCCTTCGCAGCCTCCTCTGGCAAGGAGTTCCACAGGTTGACTACACGCTGTGTGAAGAACTTTCACTTATTAGTTTTAAACCTGCTCCCCATTAATTTCATTTGGTGTCCTCTAGCTCTTCTATTATGGGAACTAATAAATAGTACCGTGGGCCTGAAGAAAGTGCCTGTGCCATCCCGTAGCCACTTTTCTCCACGTTGCTCTGTCTCCTGCCCACTCCCCCACCTTGGGCGCTCACAGGTGCCACATTCTGTGCAGACCTAGGCCTGGTGCCAAACTTTCTCACTAACCAAACATCATTCTAAAGTAAACACGGAGCAGCCAATTGCTCTGTGGCTCAGCCCAGAGTTCTCTTCTCCTTGGGGAAGGTCCTTTAATTGCTGTTTGAGCCGCAAGCTAGAGACATAGCCCAGTCTCCAGGCTAGTTACCTCTAGCTGTTGCTTTCTCCCCTAGGAGTAAGTGAACAACCCTGGGATGGCCTAGAGCTGTTTTATAAACGGAGCTTTGCCCTGTGCCATCTCTCAGCACGGGATGCTTCCGCAGATGCTGGGGGCTGAGAGAGGTGCAGGATGCAGCTGTCTGGGGGCGGGCGTGGTCCAGGGAAGACTCTTTGGTATCTGAATTCACAGATCCCATCACTGATGAGCTCCCCTGCACCACAAACCCAGACCTACGTAGGCATGATCAATGCAGAGTGAACCACGTGCGCTGCAGAGCCATTAAACATCCCTGGGTCACTGCCACAGAGGTAAGTTTGCTCCTGTATCTCTGGCCAAACCCCCCTTTTCTGTGCACGCCCCCCACCCCCATAGACTCACACAATTCTAGGGAGGCGTCCACTCCAACCACCTGTTCAAAGCTTGACCAGCCCGGACTAAATCATTGCAGTCGGGGTTTGTGAAGCCAGGATCCCACCATAAGGAACCCACCCCACTGCTTCACCACTTTTCTAGGGAAATCGTTTTTCCTAATGTCCCACCTAGACCTGCCCCCAGTGATGTGCTCCAGCCCAGAGGTGGCTGCATTTCAGTGTCTCAGGGGTCCTTCAGGAGGAAAGGACTTAGCAGATGCTGTCCCCTCCCCCTCTGGCATGTCAGGGCTCTGGCTGGTCCTGGGGGCTCTTTATTGTCGTTAGCCTGATGGAAAGCGAGGAGGTGCCAGGGCTCCGCACTGCAACCAATGACCCCAATGAAGTGCCATGGCCATGCTGCTGTGATGCTTTCAGTGCCCACAAGCCCTCAAGGCAAAGCCCAGAACAGCCTTCGGCCTGACTTAGCCAGCACTAGGAGTTAGAGAATCCGGCCCTCCGCTCCTAGTTTCTCTGAAGGGTGAATCACGCTCAGGGCTCAGCCGTTAGCCCGGATTTCCAGCTGGAATTCGTCTGGTTTCAGCCTCCAGCCTCTGGGCCTGGCGCTTCTCATCTCGGTGAGATCCCAGCGCCCGACATTCCCGGTGGTTCCGCCCCAGCCCAGTCTCTGCCTGAGCCTAGTTTGATACGATAATTAGATGAGGGTTTCTGGGTCTCTCTCTGGATGGGATTTGACGCAGCCTCCCCCCATCTGTGCGGCTCTTTTCCTCCCCCGCTCCCAGTTTGGATCCCGGGATCTCACCCAGTCGCTTTCACCGATGCCGTGTGCAAGGGGGAAACCCTGCCCCTGCGCCAGCTCACAGCTCTGCTGTTCACACGACCAGGAATCCCAGCGTCCCTTGGCCACAGCCCGGCACTGGGAGCTCCCGGTGAACCCGGCTAAACTCTGAATCCCGTCCAGGGTCCCTTTGATCCATTTCACGGTGCCCTCATCTAGGGCTCAGGCCGGCACTCAACACACTTTCCTGCCCACCGCAGAGCCCTGCGTTCCCATTGGACAGCTCCACATTCGAGTACATCAGAATATTTTGTTACCATAGAAATATAGAAACATAGACTCCTAGGCCTGGCAAGGACCGTGGAAGACCCTTAAGCCCCTTTCCTCACACAGGGTTGAGCAGTTCCTGGCCAGTGTTGGGCAACCTGCAGCCCCCGGCCACACACAGCTGCTGAGGAGAATGGGACCGTGGCTGGGAGACATTTTGCTGACAACGACCATCCGTAGGCATCGCTCCCATAGCTCTGCGTGGCTCTTTCCCCGTGTGCCCAGCCCAGGAGAGCGGTGGGGAGGGAGGCCCCCTCGCCTGCAGACCCTGCTTCCCACAGCTCTTTCCTCACCTTGTACCCAGCGTGGTGCTCCACTCCACACCCTGTCCAGTCTGCCCACAGCTTTCCCAAAATGTGGTGCCCAGAACTGGACAGAATGTTATAGCTGGGGGCAATTGAATGCAGAGCAGAGAAGAAGAAGAACTTGTCTGTGTTGTGTAAAACATCCCCTTGCAGCATCCCAGAATCAGATTTGCTTTTTTTTTTCAACCTTGTGACAGTGTTTACTCCTATTTATCTGGGGTCCATTTTGACAGCGTAATCCATTGCCACAGGGCTCCTCCTCCGACTGTTTTGACCATTTTGCATGTGTACAATTGTGTTTTCCTTCGTAGATTGGACTGAGCGCCATAGCAGGGCTTCCGCTGCTTCCGAACCTTGTCAGAGCTTTGTTCAAACATTCCCTTTCCTTTTAGTAGTTTATAGAATCATAGAACACTAGAACTGGTCGTGGGCCTACCCTGTCCTTGGTCTTCCTTTCGCTTCTGTAGAAAGTCTTCTTGTTTCCCTGTATTCCTGTAGCTAGTTTGAGCTCATTTTGTGCCTTTGTCTTTCTAACCTTGCCCCTGCATTCCAGTGTTGTTTGCCTATATTCACCCATTGTCATTTGTCCTGGTTTCCATTTTAATATCACTCCTTTTTATTTTTAGATCATGAAAGATCTCGTGGTTAAGCCAACGCAGTCTTTTGCTGTATTTTCTATCTTTCCAACACAGTGGAATAGCTTGCTTTCGGGCTCTTAATAATGTCCCTTTGAAAAACTACCAACTCTTCTCTTTTGCTTTTCTCCCTTATAACCTTCATTAGAATTCTGAATTATGTTTATAAGAAAATTGCCCTGTGATGGACAGGAGTAGGCTGGCCAGCACCCAGTGACTTAGGGTATGTCTACACTACCCTCCTAGTTCGAACTAGGAGGGTAATGTAGGCATACCACACTTGCAAATGAAGCCCGGGATTTGAATTTCCCGGGCTTTATTTGCATAAGCGGGGAGCCCCTTCATTAGAATTCTGAATTATGTTTATAAGAAAATTGCCCTGTGATGGACAGGAGTAGGCTGGCCAGCACCCAGTGACTTAGGGTATGTCTACACTACCCTCCTAGTTCGAACTAGGAGGGTAATGTAGGCATACCACACTTGCAAATGAAGCCCGGGATTTGAATTTCCCGGGCTTTATTTGCATAAGCGGGGAGCCGTCATTCGGTGTACCAGTAGTTCGGAATAGGAAGCCTAGTTCGAACTACCTAGTTTGATCCCCGTGTAGCCGCGCTGCACGGGGTTCGAACCAGCGGGGTTTTAAAAATGGCGGCTCAAATCCCGGGCTTCATTTGCAACTGCGGTATGCCTACATTACCCCACTATTGGAGATAAGCCGGAGAAAAGCGCCAGTCTAGACGTGATTCTCCGGAAAATAAACCCTTTTCCGGAGGATCTTTTATTCCTACTTTCAAGTACTTTCCACGAGGTGTACCGGTAGTTCAGAATAGGAACCTAGTCCGAACTACCTAGTTCAAGCCCCGTGTAGCTGCGCTACACGGGGTTCGAACCAGCGGCGATTTAAAAATGGCGGCTCCCGCTTATGCAAATAAAGCCCGGGAAATTCAAATCCTGGGCTTCATTTGCAAGTTCGGTATGCCTACATTACCCCACTAGTTCGAACTAGCGGGGTAGTGTAGACATACCCTGAGGGATTAAACTCCGGGCGCTGGCAAGGGTGTTGGCAGCGGACTGGAAGAACCAATGGGATACGGTGCTGAAATTTGAATTGGAGATAGATACCTGGTGTCCTCTTCCTTTAGGAATTCTTTTTGTCCGACTGTGTTACACTGTTTATCCAGACTGTTCTTGTGATCCACTAGGACACACTAGAAACCTTTCAACAGGGCTCCTTCCCATACCATTATTTCCCATTTTGTTTGCGAGCGACTAATTTCTCCTTCCCAACACTTATAATTTCATTAGTCCCAGGACAGGTTTTCCATTGTGTCCTAAGGTTGTCAAAGCTCTTTTCAAACTTTGCCTTTCCTTTTAGAGTTCATGTTTAAAAGAAAACTGCCTCCCCCCCACTTCTCTGAATAATGAAAATGTCATTTCTCAGGGTGTGAAGAGTAACCAATTTGGTTCACCACAAAAATAATCTCCCTCAGTGCGCAGCGCACCTCATACAAACATTCTCTACCCTTTCAGACGCTAGTACTGCAACCATTGCTGTAGATCCTGGGCATACGTAGGACATCAGGAGAACGTACGGCACACGCAATAAACACCATTCTGCCTCAGAGTTGGACACCTTCCTCCCTGCTCCATGGCAGATTCCAACACAACCCAGTTCACCAACCCCTCCACCTTCATCCTGCTGGGTATTCCTGGCCTGGAGTGGGCCCATGTCTGGATCGCCATCCCCTTCTGCTTCATGTACGTCATAACCATCTTGGCGAATGTCACCATCCTATTCATCGTGAAGACAGAGCCAAGCCTCCATGAGCCCATGTACTATTTCCTCTGCATGCTGGCCATCACCGACCTGGTCCTGTCCACGGCTACTTTACCCAAAATATTGAGCAATTTCTGGTTCAATTCCAGGGAGATTGAGTTCAGTGCCTGCCTCACCCAGCTGTTTTTCGTTCATTCCTTCGCACTGATTGAGTCTGGAATCTGTGTGTCCATGGCTTTTGATCGCTACGTGGCCATCTGCCATCCCCTGAGACATTCCACCATCCTAAATAACTCCATGATGGCCAAGATCGGCCTGGCCGTTTTGCTGCGAGGTGTCCTGCTTGCACTGCCGTATCCCTTCCTGGCAAGACACTGGCCATATTGTAGAACCAACGTCATTGCCTACACGCACTGTGAGCACATGGATGTGGTGAAGCTGGCCTGCGCCGACGTCCGTGTCAGTAGTTACTACGGCCTCTTTGTGCTATTCTGTAGGGTTGGTCTGGATTTGCTCTTTATTGCTGTGTCCTACATTCTTATTCTCAGGGCCATCTTCCGCCTCCCTACAAAGGAAGCCCGGCTCAAGACTTTTGGGACCTGCATTTCTCACCTCTGTGTCATCTTAACATTTTACACTCCAAATCTCTTTTCCTCCCTCACGACTCGCTTTGGCTTCAATATACCCCTGCATTTCTACATTCTGATTGCCAACATTTACCTCCTGGTGCCACCCATGCTAAACCCCATCATCTATGGAGTAAGGACCAAACAGATCCGGGACAGGCTGCTCCGGCTTGTTATGCCGAAAGGAACCTAAACCTTTTCTCTTGGTGTCTTGGCTCTCTGGCAGAGTGCCATGTCAAGAAGGCTGGTGCTGGACTTGCTTTCCTGCATGACTCACTGGCTAGTCAAAGATCAATTCAATCCTTTCCTGATATTTCTTTCTAAGTGTAAAATATTGGGGAATCGATCTGTGTGCGACTCATTAAATTGTTGGGTTTCTACGTTGTTACTGTACACCCAAGGCCTTGACACCGACCCCACCTCTTTCCCAAGGGCCCCATCCCTGCCCCACCCCTTCCTTTGGGCTCTGGGCAGGTTTATTCCTCTTCCAAGTGTCCTTCCCTCCTGCTTGCTCATCTTCTTTCCCATCACTCATTGGATCACCTCTGTGATGGGTTCCCCCTCCCCCTCTCAAGATGGAATCTGGAGCTCAGACAGAGCTGATTCCTCTTCCTCTCATAGGTGGGTTCTCGCCCCCGAGTTGTGAAATTAAAGCCTGTCCTCCAACTTCCCAGCAGAGGACCCCAGAGCTGCACTGGTTCGCCCCACTCAAAACTAGGCCAGTATGAATTTTTTACCCAGGTCCCCACTGCTACAAAGGAAAATGGGTGTTCTGCTCTTGTTCATTTGGTGTCCCCTAGTTCTTATATTGTGGAAATAAATAAATAACTTTTCCTTATTCACATTTTCCACACCGGTCATGGTTTTCTACTCCTCTATCACATACCCCTGGCTGTGTCTAGACTGCATCCCTTTTCCGTAAAAGGGATGCAAATTAGATACATCACAATTGCAAATGAAGCGGGGATTTAAATCCCCCCCGCTTCATTTGCATAAAAATGGCTGGCACTTTTTTTCCGC